GTTGGAAATCACACAGGCGTAGCCGGACCTCATCTAGGTCTTTCCAATTTCTTTTCATCATTCCACATCTGATTTCCTTTTAAAAACAATCATTTGCCCATCATCTTCTACAAATTGCCTGCACATCAAAGATGTTATAATGATAACTTTTTCTGTCAAGTACATTTATCTTAAGTATGTGCTATATTAGATATATATGCATATATTTATATGTGTCCGTCCACGGTATGTCTATGTAGGATAAAATCAATTTTTTGATATTTCAACTAGTCTGCTTGAGGACTTGAGTAAATACTCTTGTGGGCTTATTTTTGCAATGAGAGAAATAAAGGATATAATCTCCTCTAGTTGTGGCATTTCAGAACTCTGTAGTTTTTTTTCCTAAGAAGAAATGCCCTTAGTCATATAATACCCATCACCCCTCAATTCCCTAACATATATAAGTAGTAAACTAGCAATGTAAACAACTTAAAAACTAATACAGTATGATCATAAAGACTTTGCGAGGAAGAAATAAATAAATATATATAAAAGGACTATGTTAAATTTAAATAACCTCAAAAATGTATAATTAATTTAAAGATTCTATTTGTTCATACTAAGTGTGCTTTGGAATATCTTATTCATCTTGAGCTAATAAATATATAAGATTAATAATAAAGCTGTGGTTACCTTGGAAATGGCAGACAACCACTATGACATTAGATGATGGCTGTCAAAACCAGTCAAGATGAAAAGGTGAGACAATCACTTACTTTTAAGTATGTTTTTGGAAAGTGCAGCTGCATGAACTTCGTGAGGGTCTCCATGCTCACTTTGTTATTTTTTAAGTGAACCTTAACAGTAAATCCTCGTCCAAACCTAGAAAGGAAAAGTGTAAAATACGATATGAGTTACATTTTGTCAAAATAGTTCCCCTGGAATTCTAGATAATGAAACAGGACTCAAGTCGGCCGTTACAGACCCTTTTCTTATATAAAGACTGTCATTTTGCCATAAAAGTTCAGGGTATGTTGCAAACTGGAAATAGTGCACTGCCATGATTTTTTAAATTTATTTCTACCTCTATACAAAATCAGACTCTTTGGGCAAAAGCTGCACTGAAAAGAAAACATAAAATCTTGACTTTCTTTGACATTCATGAATTAGCCATGGATATCAATTTCTGGGGTTAAGTACTTTCTAATTTAAAGTGAGCAAACATTTCAGAGGCAGATCATTGGAGATTTGGTGTCAACAGCAAAGGATAACATCATTGGGTTTTAAGGATAAATATTAAAACAATATGCTAACTGTTTGCACCAAAGAAAAGTTTGGGCCGGGCGTGGTGGCTCACGCCTGTAATCCTAGCACTCTGGGAGGCTGAGGTGGGAGGATCGCTCGAGGTCAGGAGTTCGAGACCAGCCTGAACAAGAGTGAGACCCCGTCTCTACTAAAAATAGAAAGAAATTATCTGGACAACTAAAAATATAT